CCAATCTTCCTATGGCTTCTTTCTTACCCTTACCCCTTTTTTTCTATTTTTGTCTGATGGATGCTACTTGGGCAGTTCCACTTACAGGATCACCCTGGCAAGTTAGGCCAATCAAATTCCCTGCCCTGATTCCCAAGAGCTCCTGCCTGAGGCCAGAGGAAACAGCACAGTTTCCCTTTCTTATCTATCCCAGCGGTTTCAGTTGCTAGAGCACATTGCCAGATGTTCTCAAGAAACACTCATTTTGCAAAGCGCATCCTTTTTTGTGGAGCATGTCCTGTTATGAAAGACACTTTTTTTTTTACCCTGGTTCTGCTTGCCAGACTTTCTTTATATAAGCTCTTGAGAATGCATAATATGATCTCAGAGCTAAGCTCAATTATAGTGATTTACATGGGTATTTCTATGCAGTTTTCTTGGTATAGTACGATGTGGAAGAGGTTTGCTATTGGCCTCCTTGGGGATGTTTTTTTCACTTCCCACTCTAGCCAGGCGTTGGATGAGAAAAATAAATCCACGCCACCCCATGCCATCTTTTGAGGTGCACATTTAATTCTCTTTGCCAAGGGATATTTATATGGTGGTTACTGTGATTGCACATGGAGTTACGTAGTTTTACGTGCTCTGTTGTGGGCAGGCTGGTTGTTGATTCAAGAGCCTTCTTTGAAAAACATTTTGCTTTTCTTTAAACGTAACTCAATAGGAGAGAAATTGCCTGTACCTTGCAAGGATGTCATTAAAATTGTACATTCAGTGAAGACATGGCCATGGTGTGGCATTTGTTCGAAGTTATTAATTTTGTTAGAGATTTTCTAAACAACTGCATTCTTCATTATTATCAGTATAATCTGTTATCTAGATGCTAGATAACTGAGTTTATATACTGTTTTGTTTTTTAATTAAAATTTTAGATCTTATGCTTAGATTTAGTACATTTGTTACATATCTAAAAAAAGTTCTGCAAAAATATTTTTGCACCTGCATTGACTAAGCCGATTCTGAAGTCAAGTCACTCCTATTGTTCGTTAGTCAACCTGATTGAGCGGATTTGCTGACCAAGGTTTTTGTCTTACTATAAAGTGAGATTGCACAACGTGAGCTTCCAAAATCCAGTTAATGAGAAAATTAATCACCAACCCAGAAATTATAAACCACTTCCTTCTCCACTTGGTCTTGGGTCTGGCCACTGACACTGTTCACATTCAACAAAAATGTGACTTCAAAGATTGGGCAATACCAAAGAATGGTTGGTGAATATGATAGAACTTGCTGAAGCAGCCAAATTGACTTGTAGATCTTGTCCTTTTTTCTAATCAAACATTTATTGCTGACTGAAAATGCCTTAGAGACATTTTGTGTAAAACAGAAAAAAATGAACTTATGATCTGTGGCTTGGACAACTAGATAGGATAAGTTGTAGAAAGAAAAGAGTTGTGTTATAACTTTAGAGAAAGATGTAAACCTGCAATTGTATTTATAACTGCTGTAAGAAAAATAAAAATAAAACACTTCTTTATATCTTTTTCCTTTCTTTTCTATTTTTCCACTATCCTTTTGCCTTTGAGCTTTCTCTTTTATTTCTTCCTTTTTCTTTGTTTGATTTTACTCTATTTTAGTTTGTGTTATTCTTACTCATTTAAACTTTCAATAAGTATATTTTAAAAAAACCCCAAAAGTATGACTTGAAGAACCAAACACAACAGCAAAAGCAAACAAAAACAAATCAAGTGATGGAATAGCATTATATGTGAAGTAGGTATTTAAACAGCCCTTGAATGAACTGAATGGTCCTTTGTGTTTTCTTAAGAAATAGCCATCCCTCTTTATTTTACAGCCTAGAGTTGTTGCTGTTGTTTCAAACAATACTACAGTATTTTAATACTGCAGTGTTGGTATCAGGTCTGGGCTGCCAAAATCCAGGTGACCGCTACAGAGCAGCATTGACAAACTAGTTTTTACTATCTCTTTGCTACCATCTACTGCCATCCGGATTTTGTCAGCCCAGATTAAATAGCTACTAAGGTAATAAAGGTAGTCCTCAACTTATGACCACAATTGAGCCCAAAATTTCTGTTGCTTAGAGAGAGAGTTGTTAAATGAGTTTTGCCCCATTTTACAATCTTTCTTGCCACAGTTGTTAAATGAATCACTGCAGTTTTTCAGTTAGTAACACACTTTGTTAAGTGAATCTGGCTTCCCCCTAGACCAGCAAAGCTGTCTGGGGAATTCTGGGAGTTGAAGTGCAGACATCTTCAAGTTGCCAAGGTTGAGAAACACTGCCCTAGACTTTGCTTGGAAAGTTGCCAAAGGTGACCATGTCATCCTAGGATACTGCGACCGTCATAAACATGAACCAAACATTCAGATTTTGATCACATGAACATGGGGATGCTGCAATGGATGCGGCAAGCATGAAAAACACTCATAGGTGACTTTTTCTCAGTGGTCATTGTAACTTTGAATGGTCACTAAATGAATTGTTGTAAGGTGAGAACCACCTGTAATGGCTTTAAAATTAATTTTTGAAAACAGCCTGAAAACAGCTATTTGAAAATAGCTCTGAGTTTGGTAAGAAATGGATTCTTCCATTTCTTTTAACTTTGTCAACCACCAGGGAGGGTAGTTTATTCTCAAAGCCAGTAGCAAGGTATTTTATAAGGGAAAAAAAAATAAGTACTCCAACAAGAGCAATGGAATGTTGTAGTCTGCTGTTCACTTTTCCTGCTAAGTGAGATATTTGTTAAGTGAGTTTGCCCCATTTTACAACCTTTCTTGCCACAGTTGTTAAGTCAATCACTGCAGTTGATAAGTTAGCAAACTCGATTGTTAAGTGAATCTGGCTTCCTCGTTGGCTTCACTTGTTGGGAGGTTGCAAAAGGTGGTTCTGTGAACTTGGGACACAGCAACGGTCATAAATATGAACCAGTTGCCAAGCGTCTGAATTTTGATCACGGGGATGCTACGATGGTGGTGTGAAAAATGACCCTAAGTCACTTTTTCAGTGCCGTTGTGACTTTGAAGGGCCACTAGATGAATTGTTGAAAGTTGAGGACTACCTGTATATCTTTTCAGTACGTAAACAAACACCATTTGATGTTTATGTAGTGATATATGTGAATAAATATAAATAGGTAATGCAATATGGCATTAAGGGGTGTCCAAAGCAGCTTGATTTCCTCAGTCTTCTGACCCCCAATTGATTCTTGAGGCTCATAAATCAATTAAAGTGAAATTCCAGAGCAGAGTCAGGTAATTGAAGAAAATTGCAGAGCAGGCCACCCTGCAGATAGATACCTCTTCTTCTCCTTCCTCTGGCAGCATCTTCTGGCTCTGAACTCTGCGCTGTATCCTTTATCTTTCTAGAGAATAGTCAAGTGCCAGCAAACAGCACTGTAATGCTTGCCAACAATGCTTTTTTCCCCCTCCCTTTTCTTTATCTGCTAGAAATGGAGCCGTTTTCTCCTTTCTCTATGATTTGTTGTTTTCAAAATATTTTTTCTTCTTTTTGGCTCTTGTTCCTTTTTTTGCCCATTATTAATGTTAAAATCTCATGCCCAAAACCTTTTTGCCTGCTATGGGTGTTGCCACTTGGTGCAATAGCCTTGTGTTTACATAAATTCATAGAGATAACTGTAACTCTAACATTGGGGTAGGGGTGTGTGGGAGATAACATAGCTGAAACAAGCAGATGGAATTGACTGTTGCACAAAACATATTGGCAAGGAAGAACATTTTGGTGGGCAAAAAAGGAAACAAGACTTTTCCTTTCCTAAAGGCAATTTAAAATTACTTTTTTTGTGGAAGACATTAAAACGGCGTGATGTTTCTTCAATTGTCATTAGGGGCGATGATTGCCGTTTGCTGTAAAAGAATCATCAGGAATCAGGCAGCATATAAATTTAATAAGTTATTATGGTTCATTGCATAGTCAGCCAGATGTTTAGACTGGATTTGGCGTTTTTAATCCATCTGTCAAGTCCTTTCTGAGAACCTGGAATAGGAAGATGGTGTTTGATGGTGTTAAAGGAAGAGTCAGAGGATGTAAGCTGTTCCAAATCAAGCTACCTTTTGCAACTGGCTAGTGATTTTGACAGAGATTATGGTGTTCAGCCTCATTTTGGGGCTCTTGGTGGTTTGCTTTCTTTTGCTACAATTGTTCTACTTTTATTTGCAGGTCTTTATGCTTTGGGACTTTCTCCAGTTCTTTTCTATTTTGTTATCTCCAGGTATTGCCATGCCCAGTATCCAGATTTTTTTGTCTTTCTTATCAACAATTGCTATGTATGAGGTATAGTGGTGCAGATGTTTATCTGTTTGAATTCAAAGTCCCAAAGCACTTCAGTTCTTCACTTTCTATGTTTTGTCTATTTTATGGTCTTGCTTGGAGGCAAAAGGTATTTCTTGCAGATAGTTCAATCAGGGGTGGGATCCTGTACCAGTTGGTACCAGTTTGCTGCGCATGCACTTCGCTTTTTTGCATTAAAATGGCAAAAACCAGCCGTACTTGGATGTATTTTCTAGTAAACTGGAGAAGAACACTCAGTCCCAGGTTCCATTGGCTCTACGATTTAGATGAACAAACTTGATTAATGTTTTCAGATACTGTACGTTAAGAATTCTCAAAACTGTGTAGACAATTTAGAATAATATTTTTTGAGAGCAGAATGCTTGTGTAAAGTATTGATGTGGTTTATTGCATTCTAAAATAATTTTCCTGGAAGCTATTTTTTTTTCTTTCAACTTTCTTCATAGGGCTGACCAGACGGTAAACAGTCTGAACCTTAAATGGCATTTTGTTTCCCATTTGCTTCAACATTTTGTTTGAAAGAAGAAGAGAGAACTCGGTCAGAGGGCCTCTTTCACTAACCAGCTAACTTTTCCCCCCAGGCAGCATTCAGAAATAGCTTTGTGTGACAAATAAAAGGCATGCATGTTTTTGCCTCTGCTATTCAATTATTTAGTGTTGTAATATTTTTATTATTCTTATTACATATTTTCAGGTGAAATGGATCCCCCTGTTTACCTGGAAGATGATTTTTCCCATTTGGATGGGTTAGATGACGATGTGTTCCACTCTGATGACTGTGAACTGGTCAGTCAGTCCAGCAAGATGGCCTTTCGTGGCATTTTCACCCAAAGCAAATCTTACAACTGCCTCCTGGGCAGGTTCCAGCTCTTCCCACTTACACATTGTTGTGGCCCCGGCAGCAGGCATGCCAAACAACAGGACAAGGCAACACAAACCCTCAATGCATCCTCTTCCAGCCAGGATATCATGTTACCTTGTGGAGTCACTGAAGAGCCTCAGAGACTCTTTTATGGTAAGAATCATCAGCTGTTACTGGCTTCTTTGTCTACAGTGAAAAAAGGCAGTGAGCCACAGATATAACCTGTTCCCTTTTTTTAATGAACCGTGCTGTTCTTGAGCAAGGCAGCAATTGCCTCTGCTGTTGGGTCAGATAGTTATCTCAGAACCTTTGGCCTGGCTTTACATGAAACAGGTAGAGGGAAGTCCTGCTTCATCTTCAGAGTATTTTATTTAGAGCAAGACAGGGCAGCCAGCACCTCAAAACCTATGTGACTCTGTGCTCTCTCATCTTTGGCCACCAACATTTGGCAGCAATGAAATCTTCCCTTGAATTTTGGGGTCAAAAGTCACTTGGAAACAGCCTTCATAATATGCAGAACTGGGCTAGTTATGCAAAAAGAGTTAGTGTTATCAAAAAAAGAAATAGATGATAAATGAAAAATATATTAATAATCTGCTTCTAAAATGCAAAATTAATAAATGAATTGCCATCACTTTACATTTCTAGCACTAGCACTAGCACTTAGACTTATATACCACTTCACAGTGCTTTACAGCTCTCTCTAAGCTGTTTACAAAGTCAGCATATTGCCCACAACAATCTGGGCCCTCATTTTACCCACCTGGGAAGAATGGAAGGCTGAGTCAACCTTGGGTCAGTGAGGATGAACTGCTGGCAGTCGGCAGTCAGCAGAATTAGCCTGAAATATTGCATTCTAATAACTGTGCCACCACGATTCTAGGAGGTGTTTATATAGACTCTTAGTTCCTTATAAACCAATAGTGCAAGCTCCAATAATAATTTAGAAGAAAAGTGATCTAAATTGTCCTCTCAAATTAATTGGTAACTAACTGCAACTCAAATTTAATTCATATGAGGGAGTCAGTGTGTTATTTTGAATTGGATCCTGACATAAAGATCACTGCTAAATTTGAGTAGTCACTTCCTCTTAGTCCAACCTTCCTCACAGACTTGTGAAGATAAAATGAGGGGAGCACCATCTTTAGTTCCCAATAGAAAGGTGGGGTATAGATGCAATAAGAACACTAAATAAAATGTTGATTAAAACCATCTTAGTTACCATGGGTATAATAATCCAAATTTGAGTTCAATTATATTGTTTAAACGAACTAGCTTGGTGTAATGTCTAAGGTGCCAAGAGCCTATGTGTTCTAATCTTGACTTAGGCACAAAGTCACCTGGCTGACTTTGGGCCAGTTGCTCTCTTTCAGCCCTAGGAATCAGGCAATGGTAAAACCCAGTTCTGAAAATCTGGCTAAGAAACTGAAGGGCCTAATCCAGGCAGTCAATGCTAACTCAACGGCGCAACAATAACAAAAAAAACAATTGTCTATTGTTATGCTATTGATGTCAAAAAAAGATCTTATACCATATTGTGATATAAACATCTTTTTTGTATGATATTTGGCAGGAAATGCTGGATACCGTTTACATGTCCAACCAATCGGTTTCACATTGAATCCCCATCTCCAGGAGGAACCTCAGGAAAGTCTGCAGGAATTGCGTACCGAAGTTCAGATTGCACGGAAGTTACAGTGCATTGCAGATCAGTTCCACAGGCTTCATCTACAGAGGGTAGGCAGCTTGAAGAGCAAGTAAAGTAGGGGTAGCAGTAAGGCATTGGAGAAAGAATTTATGAATATATTGAATAGTCAAGTAGTGTAACTTCTGTGCCATCACTTCCAATATGCTTAGAAGGTGCTTTGTGTTAATATTGATAATATACAGTTTGTTTCAAAACTGGGAACTATTTTCTGAAATATATATTTATAATTATTATTCTTTATTTGATTCTATTGTAATTTATTTACAGAGGTACCATAGCTCTGCCTCTTAGAAATACTAATATAATTATTATTTCTGAATGTAAAGCTGGTTTCCTTTGTTGAGTTATCCTGCAGCTGAACAAAAAATAAAATAAAGTTTGCAGGGAGCTACATTATAAAGAAAGAAGTAGATTTGTTTTTGAATGTCTTCTATTAAGTCTATTGAACAAAGTAAAAAAATAACCAATGAAACTAAGATGAAAAGAATCAAACCTACTCTTTCTAAATAGTGGGCAGGTTTACTCCTTCTCCTGAGGAGGGTTTCTAAATACAGTATATACTGTATTTTTTAGAATATAAGGCGCACTTCCCCCCAAAGGGAGAAAATCTGGGTGCGTCTTTTACACTGAATACAGCATTTTTGGCCTCCCGAAACCCCGCCCCTTCTCAAAAATGGAGGTACAGAGGCTTTGGGAGGCCTGCAAAGTGCTCCTGGGGGCTGGGGAGGGAAAATGGGCAGTTTTTTCCTCGTTTCCCCTCCCCCCCCCCAAAAAAGGTTTTTGCACTCTACAAGCCTCCTAAAACCTATGCATGCCCTGTTTTTCACAAAAAATGAGGTATGCAGAGGGTTTGGGAGGCCTGCAGAGTGCAAAAACTTTTTTTTTTTAATTTACCTCTTTAAAATCTTGGTGCGTCTTATACTCTGAAAAATACGGTATTTTTATTTTCTTTCTGCTTACCTATCTACCACTTTGAGCCTTGCCTTCTGCTCCCAAGGACAACTTAGAAAATACTTTGAGGAGTATCTGTTTATCTCAGATTTATTACTTTCGCAGTGGTGTTAGGAGAGAGAGAAAGAACAATGCCTTTCTGCCATTCCCTGTATGCTGTAAGGGGCTGGTCTCCTGTTTCCATTAGTCATGGAAAGGTAGAATATTTTCTGCTGACTAAGTCCGTCAGCTGGATAGCAGAACAAGTAGGCAAGGCTTCCAGGAAGCCAAATTTCATGCTTTGACATCTAGTCCCAAATGTAGTTTAGCCTTAAATACCATGAATAATCCAGCTCTCTCCACTAATGCGCTGAAGTATCTGTCACTTTCGAGATTTGCTTCTCTGTTGGTGCTGTCTTGTGAAGCAGATGAAAGAAACATGGTGTGAAGCACAATGCCATGACAATAGCCCTTCTTCATCAAAAGCTTTTGAGTGTCACAATAACAGTATCAATAATGGTGAAATTCAATTTTTTTTTAACTACCAGTTCTGTGGGTGTGGCTTGGTGGGCGTGGCAGGGGAAGGATACTGTAAAAACTCCATTCCCACCCAACTCCTGGGGAAAGGATGTTGCAAAATCTCCATTCCCACTCTGGGGCCAGTCAGTGGTGGCATTTGCTGGTTCTCCGAGCTAAAAATTTCTGCTACCAGTTCTACGGAACCTGTCAGAACCTGCTGAATTGCACCCCTGAGTACAAAGCATCGGTGTCATTCTCCCAGGTACCACAAGTAGTCTGTATTAGTTTAAGTTTACGTTTAATAACATTTATATGCCGCCCAATCCCATGGGACTCCGGGCGGCTTACAGTACAAAAATAATCAAAAATTTTAAAAAAGTAAGATACAGGAAAGAAAGATAGATATAAAATACAAAACATCATGCACTCCATTCTGAATGGGGCTGGACCGTATTTTGGGGCCAACAGCCCCAGGCCTGCCGGAACAGCCAGGTTTTAGTGGCTTTTCGGAAGGCCGAGAGAGTGGGAAGGGTCCGGATCTCTACGGTTAGATCATTCCACAGGGCCGGGGCAAGTAAAGAGAAAGACCTCCCCCGAGTACTCGCCAACCAGCATTGCCCGGTCGACGGTACCCAGAGGAGGCCCAACCTGTGAGATCTTATTGGTCGTTGGGAGGTATGTGGCAGGTGGC